TAGGACCTCCACTCTACTTGCTCCCAAAAATGTCTTCCAAAGAGGTTTAGTCTCCCGAGGAACACCTGAGTCATGTTCTCAAGAAAAAATTGCTGGGATGAAATCCATAGGAAAGAACTCATAGCCCTTTGGTTCTATGAATGACCACATTTTAATTCACCTGCTAAAGGTCATCTACAAAACATACCTGTATCTCTGTCCTGAAGTTCTTGACCCAAGCCAGTCTCCCAGGGTCTTTCTAGACAAGGCACCGATTCCAGATTTAGTAACTGGTGTACCTTTAAGAAGAAAGGACTGCATCTGTTTGATGTAACACAGCTTTTCCTCCATCCACATTTGTCAAACTGGCTTGCTTTTGTTTTTGTTTTGCAACCACAGTTGACTGTTTCCACGTCTGATGTTTCAGGCAACTAACCATGAAACTTCTGCATTGCCCGGAGGGATGACAGTTCTAAGGGGAGGTTAAAACATGCCTTCACAGAGGTAACAAGTAGGTGGGGTTTGGCATGATCGGAGTGCCTGTTTTTCAGCACCAAAACTCTGCAGGTATATTCGCCATCCCTAGAAAGGGTTTCAAATCCAAGTCTACCCTATATGGAAGCAAAACTCTGGTCTTGTCCTTCACTCCCCCATGCCCCCAGACTTGTTATAATTTATCAATAGGTCAGGGTTTCTCTTTTTGAGTGAGTTCATCTCATATTTCATCCTATTCCTGCTGCCTTCAACTTTTCCCAGCATTATTGTCTTTTCATGCAACTCTTGTCTTCTCATGATATATCCAAAATACAATAATCTCAGTTTAGTCATATTTGTTCCTCAGGGATATTTCATGTTTCATTTGATCTAGCACCCACTTATCTGTCTTTCTGGTGGCTCATGGTATCTGTAAAGATCTCCCTGGATACTTTTAGAAATTAAATGAGGGAATTGGGGGATTGCGGGAAGAAGGTGGGATAGAAACACCAGGGGGAAGATGATATAATTTCACTCTTCTTTTTTCCAAGTGAAGAGACCCAGAGTAGGTGGGGGCATAGAAACTGTAAGAAATTACTTGATAGAGGGGCAATAACGGGAGAATCAGAAAAATTACAATGCAGAAACAGAGATTCATATTAGTTTAACAAGATGGTTTGTCCAGAAGAACAATGCAAAAAAGATTTCCAGTTGCAAACAGATTCAGGCATAACACTGCATCTGGAGAGATGCAGGGTGGATTTGGCACGGATTTTTGCATATACGAAGTCAGTGGAAAGTTGTTATAAACACGGACAACTTCTGATTAGGGCAAGGGGAGCATCCAGGGGTGTAACTAGAATGGAACAACTGGACTTTGCACCATTACATCATCAATTGGTTGTTGTTTAGTCGTTAAGTCGTGTCCGACTCTTCGTGACCCCATGGACCACAGCACGCCAGACCCTCCTATCTTCCACTGCTTCCTGGAATTGGGTCAAATTCATGTTGGTAGCTTCGATGACACTGTCCATCCATCTCGTCCTCTGTCGACCCCTTCTCCTCCTGCCTTCACACCTTCCCAACATCAGGGTCTTTTCCAGGGAGTCTTCTCTTCTCATGAGATGGCCAAAGTATTGGAGCCTCAGCTTCAGGATCTCTCCTGCCAGTGAGCACTCAGGGTTGATTTCCTTCAGAATGGAAATTTCGAAGGTACCCAAAACTAAAATCTACTGGTGAGTGTAAGGCAGCACCTCCTGATTCTGTTCCTTTTCCTCTTATTTTAAGCACAACCTTTATTTTTGGGGTGGGAGACATTATATTTGTATCCTCATTATTTCTTGGAAAAAAACCATGCCTGGGAAATCATGCTGCTTGCCCTGAGTGCCAAAATGGCTAGTTACCTCCAACATTGGGACGAATCTCCTGAATAGAAAACCCCATATGATTACCAAGCAGAGGAAGGGGCTTTTAGTGCACTTTCCCGAAACTTTTTCATGTTTTAAAATATGTATGTTTGATATTTTAATTGTTTTAATTTATTTTCTAAGGTATTGCTCTTTAAATAATTTGTCCGCCGTTTGGAGTACAGTACCTTTATTGGGAAAAGGGTGGGATAAAAACAAGGAGTAACAAAACCAAAGAGACAAGCAAGCAAGCACGCAAGCAATGGAGGCGCAGGAAAAAGATTCCTTACCGTGGCGATCTTGAACCGTCGGCTGGTTTTTTCCTCCCAAGCCCACAACAAAAGGAACTTGACAGGAAATATTGCCGGATCAGGATCCCTCAGCGTTCCCCGTTATCTTCGTCTCCGGTAAAGAAGCGTCAACGTCGGTTCCTCCAGCGACGTTACATTTGGTGAAGCACCTATCTTTGGCGTTGCCGTTCTGGATGCAAGGCGCCAGGTCATTTTAAAAAGAATGGCGACTGAATGAGGGAAAGAAATAAGAGCGGCGCCTTTTGGACGAGTGCCCGCGCTTTTCCCTGAGACGATCCCACGATTTTTGGGCGCAATAAGAAACCAGCGGATCCGCAGCTCCTTTCTCTCGGGGTGCCAAGCGAGCCCATAAAATCGTTACAGGAGGCAGGACGTCGCCTTTGCGCCTGCGTGCCTTTTGATGGCATCCATTCTTACTCTACAGCTGCTCGGAGTCGTGTGCGTGGTTTTCCTCGCACCATGTCGTTTTGCATTCAGAACCACCCTGTGAGGTAGGTTACCTTGAAGGATAGTGCCTCCAGTCCTGCTGATCACTCAACTCGGGGGACTTCGGGACTAAGCAGGGATTCGAACCTGCAGAGGCAGGATAGGATCGCCCCCCCCCCACCCAGTGCTGAATTAAAAGGCAAACGCCAGCTTGATTCATTTCTGGACATGGAAGGTGGGAAGGGGAGAGAAACCTTCTCTTTCTTTTTGTTGCCTTAGGTGGCAAAGAATCTTGGGTCCTCACGGCAGGCAGAGTGGACCCTTCAGCAACAAAATATAACAGTAAGTGCATGGGGCGGGCTTGGTCTTTCATATGAGACTTCTGTGTTGAGGAAAGCAACTCTTCCTATCTTTCACGTGTCTCCAATCCACCTCATTATTTTGCCAAGGCTTTCTACTGAAGTGGGTTGGAGTGACAGGTTGCCAAGCCCGGAGTTCCAGCTTCCCAGAACCAAGCCAGCTTTGCTTTCCCAGTGTATGTGTGTGTGTGGCTAATGGTATTATGTGCCCTGCCACGTGTGTGGCCCTGCCCAAGCTTCACAACCTCAAAGTTCCAGCACCACCAGAAGGATGGACTAATGAACTCTTTCTGAGCACTTCATACCCTGTTGCTATATGTCGTCATTTCTGCCTCAATGTTGACCCTCATAGGGTCGTCTACCTAGGTGAGATGTTCGAGGAGTGTTTTACCAGTGCCATCCCACCCCCATGAGTCGTTACAGCTATGCAGAGTTTTGAACTCAGGTCTTCTGAGTCCCAGTCCATCACTGTATGCACTACACCACACCGGCTGTCTTTATACCTAGATTAGCATCAACTTGAAAGCACACAATTTCATTTCAGGAATGGGCGTGCTGGTGATGGTGGCTGTGGTCTTTAGAGATCTGTATCAGAGAAGAAATTATCACATAGTTTTTCATATAGGAAGATCTCAGCAATGTAAGAGCCTGCTGGGGTTTGTTGGCACTCAGCTTTACATTCTGGTTTCAGGTCTGTGTTATAATTGTACGTCTCAATTGGCTCCATACCACGACCAGCCACTAGCTGGGAGTAGATCTCACAAAATTGTGCTCTGCAGAGTGTTGTGATGCTCCCTGAGTGGCTTCTATAGAAATAAATAGCGAAGACTATCCCCTCTCCTTTTTCTTTTTCTTGGCAACCCTTGTACTTCAACAGTCTTTGGCTGACACTGATATTTCCCAAAAAACCGACTTCTCCATTGCTGCCTTGCACACAAGAAGAAAATATACAGGGCCAATTTGGGGGTGAAAACTAGTTTACAAACACACTCACTTGATAAGACTAGTTTTTGGCAGAACACATATGATCTCGAAATAGGTTTCCCAGATACCAACTTTGAACAGCAGCGCAACACTTGGGGGAGGGACATATTTATGAGCAACACCACCGCTTTTAAAGAAAAAAAAAATCTTAATCAGCAATACTGACTCTTTATGAGTTGGCATAATTTCCAGGTAAGAAACAGAAATATTTGAGAGAAGAAGATCTACTTTGAACAATAAGTCCCAGGCCTTTTCTTTATTTATACAGCAGTATCTTTGAAAAAAAACAACAGCTCTTGAGTTCTTGGAAACCATGGCTTGGGCCTTTTCTTTATTTATACAGCAGTTCTTTTAAAAAACAACAACACTTTAAACAGTACCATACGTTCACCAGTAAAAACAGACGTTCTTTGCCCATTTGTCAGTGTTCCTACATTTCAGAAATCCAGAGGATTCCTCAGGGAGAGAAGGAGGAACGGGAGGAGGGAAAACCCCCAGACCCTTGTTTTAAAACTAAACATCTGTGGTTGAAGCTATAGCTACAAAATCAAAGAAATTCAAATGACATTCAATCTCATTCCTATCTGGACGAGAAGCGTTCAGTTGGGGTGAGATTTGATGCATTAATGATCATATGTTTTGACTGAGGAGTTAGAACTATGATTTGTAGTTTGAAAAAGTAAGTTTTGCAATCTCAGGTGTAATTTCCTGAGAGCAGATGCCCACAGTGATATTTAAGGTGCTCTGGAAAATGTATATGTTTAGACAGTGGCAGCATTTGGACTTAAGTTGTTGTAACTCCTTTGGCTTGCAGCAATGTGGCTGTTGACATCTCATTTACACTTCTATTTACTAGCACTGATTCCCGGAGAACCGGCTCTGCCAGTGCCCGGATACTCGGCTACTCCCATGGGACGTGAGAGGGGGCTGGGAGTGTGGAACCGAAACATGGAGTAGAGTTTGGGAATCGGAATTCGCAAGAGAAACTAGAAGAGTTGCAATGTCTTTAATTACTGGATTTCAATGTGCACTCAGCACTTTTGCTTTACTGGCTAAGCCTCAAATCTGTGGATCTGGAGCCCCATAATTCAAATTCTAGGGCAAAGAAAGGAGGCTGTGAATGATTTGCAGGAGAGTGGGAAGGATTCCTGATTTCCATTCACTTAAAAGTAATGATAAAAATACTTCCCTCTGTAACAGGCAGTCGCAAAGAACAAAGTCGGGTTAAAAAAAAAGGGATGTCGTGGCGCTGCAGGTTAAACTGCAGAAGCCTCTGTGCTGCAAGGTCAGAAGACCAGCCGTCGTAAGAGCAAATCCATGCGATGGAGTGAGCTCCTGTTGCTTGTCCCTGCTCCTGCCAACCTAGCAGTTCGAAAGCATGTAAAAATGCAAGTAGATAAATAGGTACCACCATGGTGGGAAGGTAACAGCGTTCCTTGTCTAGTTGCGCTGGACCCGTGACCGCGGAAGATTGTCTTTGGACAAACACTGGCTCTATGGCTTGGAAACAGCGATGAACACCATGCCCTGGAGTCAGACACGACTGGACTAAATGTCAAGGGGAACCTTTACCTTTACCTTACCTGGTAAGATACTAGGTGTACATGTGTGTATAAAACAACAATGGGCTCAGTTTTCACATGGAAAGAAAATATTTCTGGGCTGAGCCAATACAGTTTTTTTCTTTAGGGCTGGACAGGCCATTAACTATGGCCTCAAATGATGGAGTGCTGGGGCAGTGGTAGAGCTGTTACCACCACCCATTCTCCGCTGCCTGAGCTGGCCACTTCCACCCCCAACCTCTTACTTTGAACTGATGCTTGCCCAGTTTCATAGCATGGTTTGGCTTTAGTCAGCTGTGTGAATAGTGTTTCCACCAAGTGTTCCTGGAGTCAAAATATCATAGGAAAGTTGTTGTTGGTATTGTGGTTGTTGTCATGCTGATTTATGGTGATCCGATGAATGAGCCATCTCCAAAATGTCCTGTCCTCAACAGCCCCGCCCAGTTCCTGTAAACTCAAGCCTGTGTGGCTTCTTTTAGGGAGTTGATCCATCTCTTCTTTTAGGGAGTTTATCCATCTCATATTTGGCCTTCCTCTTTTCCTGCTGCCTTCCACCTTCCCTAGCATCATTGTCTTTTCCAGAGACTCTTGCCTTTTCATGAGGGGCCCTAAGTAGCACAGCCTCGGCCTCAACATTTTTTTTTTGCCTCCAGAGATAGTTCAGGCTTGATTTGTTGTAGGATTCATTTGCTTGTGTTTCTGACAGTGCAAGATATCCACAAAACTCTCCTCCAGCCCAATATTTCAAAAGAATCATTTCCCCCCATCAGCTTTCTCAGCCGTCGACTCTCACATCCATAGATGGTGACTGGAAATACAAGAGTATGGATGATCTTGGCCTTGATCTCCAGTGACACATCCTTACACTTGATGATTTCTTCTAGTTCTTTCATTATTGCCCTTCTTAGTCTCAGTCTTCTTCTGATTTCTTGGCTGCAGTCTCCCTTTGGACTGATGACTGAACAAAATCTCTATTTCATCTTTTTCACTGTCAATATTAAAATTGTGTAGTCATGATTTTTGCTTTTTCTTGTTCAGATGCAATCCTGCTTTGCACTTTCCTCTTTCACTTTCCCTAACAGCCATTTCAAGTCATTGCTGCTTCTGCCAGTAAGATGGTTTCATTTGCATATTTTAAATTACTGTGCAGTGATAAACCTAGACAGCATCTTAAAAAGCAGAGACATCACCTTGCCGACAAAGGTCCGCATAGTCAAAGCTATGGATTTTCCAGTAGTGATGTATGGAAGTGAGAGCTGGACCATAAAGAAGGCTAACCGCTGAAGAATTGATACTTTTGAATTGTGGTGCTGGAGGAGACACTTGAGAGTACCCTGGACTGCAAGGAGAACAAACCTATCCGTTCTGAAGGAAATCAACCCTGAGTGCTCACTGGAAGGACAGGATCCTGAAGCTGAGGCTCCAATACTTTGGCGATCTGATGAGAAGAGAAGACTCCCTGGAAAAGCCCCTGATGTTGGGAAAGTGTGAAGGCAAGAGGAGAAGGGGACGACAGAGGAGGAGATGGTTGGACAGTGTCATTGAAGCTACCAACACGAATTTGACCCAGCTCCGGGAGGCAGTGGAAGACAGGAGGGCCTGATGTGCTCTGGTCCATGGCATCAAGAAGAGTTGGACATGACTTAACGGACAAAAAATTACTGTGCATTGAGCAGGGAGTTGGACTTGATGGCCTTATAGGCTTCTTGAAACTTCAGGATTCTATGTTTCTTCCACTAATTTTCACTCCTCCTTCATCTGAATCTAGTCTGGATTTCCGTATGATATATTCTGCATACAGATTGAACAGATAAGGGGATAAAATGCATCCTTTTCTGACATGTTTGCCTATACTATAGGAAACTGTTCTGTCTCTCTGTATCTTGTGCTAACAGCAACTTCCTGTCCATGATACAAGAGGCACAGGTAAATCAAATCTAATACAGTGGTGCCTCGCTAGACGATTGCTTCGTTTAATGACGAATTTGCTTTACGATGAGGTTTTCAGAGCAATCTTACGCTCAGTTTAACGATGTTTCCTATGGGTGATTTTTGCTTTACGATGTTAGGGACCTTGCCTCAGAAGACGGTTAAATTTTAGGTCCCTGTTTTTCGCTTTAGGATGTTTTGACAGCTTGGGTTTGATTTGCTAAATGGGTTTTTAAATGGTTGCTATTTCGTTAGACGGCTGTCTTCGCTTGGGAAATGTGTTTCACTTAACGATGTTTCCAATGGCGATTTTCGCTTTACGATGACAATCCGTTCCCATTGAAATGGATTATCCTATTTTCAATGCTTTTCTGTGGAAAACCACGTTTCGCTTAACGACAATTTCGCTTGACAGCGATTTTTGCGGAACACATTTACCTCGTCTTGCGAGGCACCACTGTATAAAATCCATCTTTGCTGCTGTTCTGTGCTGCTCTTTTTCAATTCTGAGTAGTAATTGCTGACCAAACCGGTTTGAATAATACACCAGATTATGTAGCAAGTGCCTTTTTCAGAGTGGTAGTGGGGCAATAGTATTGGGAGTTCCCTTCTCATGGCTGTTCCAGATTTACATATAGTGGGATTATCAGGTTTCTTTCCTTCTTCCTCCTCCTTTCAGGTCATTTTCTCTTTACCGCTTCTCCACTTTAGTTAGAGAGGCCACCTTGAACACACTAGAGACAACTCAAAAGCATTTCAATCACTAAGTTTAACAACCTTTCCTCCTGCTCTATCTTTACATTGAAAAATGTAAGTATAGATCTAGCTTTCAATGGTAATCCATCTTCTCCCCGGCTTTGTCCTAAAGTTTCATGGCAGAGTGGTTGTAATGCCAGTAAAATTTTTCTTAAGGTGAGTTGAGCAGTAGGCAAACCCTTTGTGGGGAGGTGGAAAATCCCTTCTCCTCCCTGTTGAGCTCGTGTTAAGAAACAATCCTTTTAATGCCCCACCCAAACTGGAATAAAAAAAGACATGTTTGTTTAGGAATCAGCTTGTTTGGATAGATTGGTCACAAACCATTTAAAGGGTCTATTGCCGGTACTTTGAATTGTATCAGGTTCTCCTGGGAATAAATAAGTAACCACTATTGTTCCTGAAGGCAGGATTTCAATGACTGTGACCTTCCTTTCCCTCCTGAATGGAACAAAACGCTACTAAGTGAAATGCTCTGGGTTTTTTTAACTGCAAAGTGAGGGTGATTTTGATCGTCCTTTTGCACTTGGCAAGGCTATTATTCTTCTTTTCACACAGGGGTACTCATTCTCTCTCTCTCTCTCTCTCTCTCTCTCTCTCTCTCTCTCTCTCTCTCTCTCTCTCTCTCTCTCTCTCTCTCTCTCTCTCTCTCTCTCTCTCACACACACACACACACTTACTTCACAAGCGATCAGCGTGGTTGGACTCTGATTAGTCTTAATGTAGTGAAAAGGCTTACACTCCAAAACTGGACAGGCAAACTCTTCTCATTCAATATTACACCCTTATTTGTACATCTGTCTGTATTTTAGAGACACTGGCATCAAGCAGGGGTTTTGATTGTTGTTTTTTGGGCGGAGGGGGGAACATGTATCAGCTTGTGATATTGAGTACATCTAGCCCATGGTTGCATATGATGGGTCTCCACTCTCCTCTTTCCTTGTCTTCTTCTTCCTCATCTGCCTTTATAATTTAATACTCCACACAAACGGCATACATACCTTGCCTCTAGCCTGTCGCTCTGAAACCACTAGTCTCTTCTCCCCACCCAGAGATGGAGGTGGAGGCAGAAATGGATAGGATAGCTTGGCTTCCTGGTGAGTAGGCAGTTGAGCTGGCCTCACCAGGTAAGCTGGTGGGTGGAGTATGGAGGACAATACCTCACAGCTCAGGTTTAGCTTTTTGGCAGCCTCCCTGGTACTGTGCGACACCAAGAGGCTGCTCATTTTTTTAAAAAAATTCTTTTTGGTGTTGTGCACCAATCCTGTCCAAGGGTTTCCGGGCTTAGCATCCCAGTGCACAGCATCCCCCTGTCTCCTTCCCTGAGCTGACTGTTCATCTGGGCTGTTCATCTTGGACCATGCTGAGTCTCTCCTGCTGTCAGATTGTGCTGCTATTCTTGTTTTTACAAGGTGAGTGACCAAGAGCACACAAATATAAATGTGTGAGGTGTGTGTACTTGTCTTAGAACTTGGGGGAAGAAGGTTACTTTTTGGAGGGTTCTGGGAGACGAAGTCCCAACATTTATTTTTGGTGTCTCTCTTCTAGTGATGGAGGTGGAATCCTTCATCTCCTCTACACCAGACTGAGAGAGAGAAGACCATTCAATTTTCCCAGCTGAGGCAAACATTCCTGCCATTGGAAGATGGCACCCAGGACACCAGGATTTTCTGGGAAGGGAATGAGATGGGAGGACGTTAGCTAGACCAGGAGTTCTCAAAATGTGATCTGTAGACCCTTGATGGACCGTCCATGCTTGAGAATATTTGTACAGTACTTGATCCTGGGCATAATTTCATTCTTCTGATGGCAGAGGCTGACTTTGTTTCATCCAGGCCTGGACTTTCAGACTAAAAAGGCTCTAGCTGAGATTTCTTAGTGATTTTTTAAAATACAGTGAGGGTGAAGGTGATACATATTTTCCTTAGAATTCCTGAACTAAGGCAACCCTGTCTAGCTAGGCCTGCAGTTTTCATAATGGGGCCCTGGTGCCATTGGCTATGATGCTGATGCTGGCAAAAATGTATGACAAAACTTTAAGTCTGAGAACTTACTTTTTTGAGATGACAACACCCTGTGTTCTACAACCAATAGAGCCATTGACTGGCGGGGTGTGTGTGGGATTTTGAGAGTAATAATCTAGGGAAAATAAGAGAAGAAAAAGAAAACAAAGACATTTATCAGGTTATTATAAAGTAAAAGTCATGTGTATGCTTTATTTTTTAGAATTATTTACTGTGTTACCAGCCAGTTTTCACATAGACCATAATTAAAAAGCTATGGGGCTGATTCTCTGGAGGAAGGATATTTGGACAAATAAGTAGGTTTGGGATCTGGGAGCTGTGGGTTCAGTTTCTCTCTCTCTGTGTATGTGTGTGTATGAGACCATAATTTAGTTATTTCTCTGCTACAGTTCCTCTGTCTATTCATCAGCTGACGGCCAGGGGAGATGCTCAAGTAGTGGAACATTTTACTTGCTAGGGTCATGCTGGCAAAAGTTGTTGCTGTTGTTCTTGTTATTGTTGTTGTTGTTTCAGCTTATATATACTGTAACCCCATAGTGCTAAAGCAGTCTTGGGTGATTTATAACATAATTATGCAAACAACACTTTGTCCCCCAGCGAGCTGGGCACTCATTTAACCAATGTTGGAAGGATGGAGGACTGAGTCAGCCTTGAATCAGCTACTTGGATCCTCATGATCAATCTCAGGTCACAAGTGGAGGCTTGACTGCATTACTGCAGTTTAACCACTGCCCCAGTGAGTTGAGGAGATGTAGCTTTTCTCTTGCTTAAAACATGCAGGAATCACAGGAAACTTCGCATATGTTTCATTTCTGACTGCCCTGAAGTTGGCAGAAGCACAGGAACTTGGTCTCACTGCATGTAACAATCCTAATTTGGGGAGGGGTGTGTATGTTAGAGAGAGTGAGGGAGGGAGAATTTTAGTTTCACTCTTCACAGCCATTACAGTATATGTGCAACATTTTTGAATATTCTTGCCTTGTACAATTAGCCTCTGGCATATTCTCCACTGGACTGAAACAGTTTGTACCTCTGTTGGCCTCATGGGAGTTTTCAATTCTCTCTTTGTTCCCGTGACTGTAATGCAATGCTAGGTCGGTTGGCATTGCTGGTTATCACACTCCAGAGGTAGATTCATTACAATCCCGGAGACGAAATCTCCTTTTGACATTCCTTTGTGGTTTTCACAAAAACTTTCCATGTTTGAGGCTCAGTTGCATTTCACTGCTAACTGGGATTTTCCTGAAATGCACGTACTTGACTGTTCCTTCCTGAGTCAAGATAAGCAAAGAGCCCCCCCTCCTCTATCTCTTTCCCAAGATTCCTGGTATGCCGTTCTGATTCCACTTTTTTTGTCTTCAGGTGCTGAAAATACTCCTGCACAAACAGGTAAGAAGCCATACACCTGGCAAAGAATGTCTAGGCCTGATAATGTGAGAACAAGCTCAAGGATGGTGGTGGGAGATGAAAATTCATTTGCTCTGGACCTAAGCACTTGTGGCTGAAATGATCACACATTTCCTTCCATGTTTACTTTTATGTCATTTCCTTTGCTTCCCGTATTGCTTCCCTTGGGTCAAATTTTGGATTGTAAACTCCCTGGGGCAGGGACCTATTCTCACACAGTCTATAAAGCACCAGACACACTGGTAGTGCTAAGGGCTGAGCATTGATAGGCTGTCCCTGTATGTCCAACCATCTGAGTCCCTACTCTGTCTCCCAGAGTCTGGAAAAGTTACTTTTTTGGACTATAATTCCAATAATCCATCCCCCACCCAACATGACCTTTGGTTCTACAAGCTAGAAGAGGCTGGGGACAGTGATCTTCATTATTAGTTTTGCCCGATTTCCCCTCTTTTCCCAGATTTTTATATTGTTTGTTTTTAACATTTCAAGCCGTCTTGAGTCATCCTGTGGAAAAAAAGTAGAGTAGAAAGGTTTTTAAAGAAACAAATCATCAAAGGCCTCTCTTTCTTCATTTAAGATAAAACACAGGCAGCCTACCTGGCATGTACAAGTCTAGAGACAGGAGGGAAGAACTACATGCCACAGATAGAAGACAGGCTAAAATCCTGTCAACGGAGCTACACTGCATAAGACTGAAGACACCATCTTCCATGGAATCGCACCCAAAGTTCTGAGGCTCCCCTGTTAATCCTTTTGGTCATGGAAAAAAGCAGAGCAGCTTATTGCTTATATATCTCATAAGGCACTCTTTGGGTGGTTTACAATTTAACTACTATTGCTTATATATCTCTCCTTAAGGCACTCTCTGGGTGGTTTACAATTTAACTATTCAGGCTGTGAATAATGCAGGTACCGGATTTACCAGCCTAGGAAGAATGGAAGACTGAGTTCAACATCACGGTGGCTACCGGAGCCCACTGGGATCAAACAGCTTGTGAGGAATAATGCAGGTACCGAATTTACCAACCTAGGATTGATGGAAGACTGAGTTCCACATCACGGTGGCTACTGGAGCCCACTGGGATCAAACAGCTTGTGAGTAGGGTCTAGACGACAGTAGTGGAGTTTAACCACTGTGCCACGAAACTCCAGCCAATGTGGAATGGAGGAGAAGTCTTCAATTTCCAGAAGCATTGCTAATGTAGATGATTTTCGGAAACTAAAGAGTTTTCCCCTAGGATTCAAGGGGGATTGATGAAGGGGATTGCATTGGGCCCTGAGATTTCAAGGGGATTTTGGAAATACTTTATTTCTGAAAAATCTTATCATGGGGTAGAGCTCCCCTGACAGGATTTCAGCCATAACATGTCCTGCAAGGGTTTTCTCATCTATCACCATCTGATTTTCTGGCTCTGAGGTCCCAGCCTTCATCTGCCATGTAGAGAGGATGCTAGAAAGGTATGTTCTGAATGAAGGTACCTGAGAGCCTGAATTACCTGTGGATGGAGGTAATTTGTATTCTTCCTTTTCTCATAAATACCAACAGCTTCTCCCTCTATAATTATCTTTTTACTTCACATTGTGTACTCTCTATTGTTTATACTCACACACATCCACCTACACATCTACCACACTCCATTGTTGTATGAAACACACCCGTCCAGCTACATACCTTCTACAGTTTTCTCTCTTTCTTTTTGCCCACAACAACCAGGTATTAGACATAATTTGATCTTGCTTTGATTTAGTTGATTTCATTTCTGAACCTACCCTGTGAAACTTTTTAGATTACAGGTAGGTGTCAGCATTGGTGGTAAAGAGGATGGAAAACAGGAAAGGCTCAGCCACATAAACAACACTGTTGGTAATCTCTGGAAAATGCTTGGGTTCTGACTGTAGCGAACCCACATTGGAAGATAATTCTGTTTTTCTTGAATAGACACTGAACATACCTGTCTGTGTGGTTCCTATTGGATACATGGAAGCCACAGCCACAAAGTGGTTTGTTTCTGATCATAAACCTGATAATGGAATGCCCATTTGTTCAGCATATAATCTACCTGCCCACTTCATATTTCTATTTCTACAAAACCAGTTTTCCTTGTGTATGATCCCTTCCTTCCCATACAAATTCCTTTTTCTTACGTATCTTTGCTTAGTTTTTTCTCTTTCTCCAAGCACCGTCATTTCTTGCATTTCTCTGTTTATCCTTCTGTCTTTTTAATGTCTGTCGATGTACTCCAGTACAAAAAACTGAAGAGTTGATTTGAATTTAAAATATCAGAATCTAAATTTTAGGTCTGTTGTACTAAATATATTTTGAGACAGACAGATAGAGGGAAAATGTAGTATCTGTCTGTCTGATCATTCATCTGGAAATCAAGGCTTCTGTGCTCATCTCTCATGCCTGGACACTTGCATTCCTACAAAACAAAAACAGCTACTTCTCTTCTTTGTTTTCTTCTCACTATAACAGAGAGCAAAGGGGACTCTGGTGGCTGTTTATCAATGCTTTGAAGAGAGAGATACAAGCATATCCTTGTCTCTATATTTATACAGTATTAATAATAAAATGCCGTCAAGTCAGTTCTGACTTATGGCAGCCCTTTTCAGGGTTTTCTAAGTAGAAAGGTAGAAAATCCTTGCCATTCTCTCCTTGTAGGGCTGCCTTGGGGCTGTGCAGCTTGCCCAAGGCCACATAGGCTGGCTCTATTCATAGTGAGGAACTGAAGTCCTAACCTCTGGCTTCACAGTCGGATATGTAACTCACTGAGCTATTCAGCCCTACATATAACTTGTGGGCTGGATAGCTCATTGAGTTACGCATGCACACACATGCACACGCACACGTGTATTTGCGCACATGTGAACATGTGGATAGAGAGTTGAATGCTGTGTTTGTGTGGCTTGCATCTGCTCTGGAATGGCAATGAACACATATGGAGTGGGTGAAATTGGCCACCCTACCCTTGCCTTTGGGCCCTCTCTGAGCTCCTCTCCTCATTTGTGTGCAGCCTGTGGCCGACCCAAAGTGCACTCCCCTCGGATCGTTGGAGGCCGAAAGGCTGAAGAAGGGGAATGGCCCTGGCAAGTCAGCATCCGAGAAAACAGGCTACATGTGTGTGGTGGGAGCCTCATCTCATCCCAGTGGGTGCTGACAGCTGCTCATTGCTTTGATGGGTGAGTAGAAAGATCATGCTGAGGAAGTGCCATCTAAGAGGGTCACAATCTTTTCAGTGTGATTTTCATCCTAGTACATCACTAAGAATGTGTCCAGATGGAGGGTTTATCAGGCCAGCAGAAAATACTATGCAGCTGTATATATATATTTTTCTCCCTGAAATATCTGAAGGAAGCAAAATGGCAGAAGGAGGAGAAAACAAGGAAGGGCTGCAGGTTGACGTTAGTGCCTTCTGAAGCCCTTGTGAAATTCAGTGACCAAATGAGGGCAGCAGCCTCATCTGAAACTGCTGGTAGTGCTATGAAACAGCACTAGGGGGCAATTCAGTATAATTCAAGGGGCAATTCAGCAATAGATGAACTCTATGTTACTGATATGAAAATAGCATAGATCTGAAGGCAGTCACCAGACATAAATTTTGTGGACTTGAAATAGGGGTGTCTGATTGGAGAACAATTGGTATTTTGGATAATTATGAGGATAACCTGTCTCAATAACTTTGCCAGTAAAGGGTGATATATATGCAAGTTATTGTTATGATGTCTCACTAGAAATATAGTTACCTCTATTCAGCTGGGAGCTGAATATTTTCCTTGGTTATTTATGTTTAAATAGCCCTACATATTATCTGACATGGTGCAATGTACTAAACTGTGTATAGGGCTGCAGACTAGACATGGAGACGAATATAAAAACAAATCAGGATATTCGTTAAATATCCCTGATTCATCAGATATTTGTTCCTTCATATTCTTGGGGTCCAGAGACCGCCAATGAATATGAAGCAACAAATATAACCCTTTTATATTTATCCATTCCCTACTGGGAATCTCACCCCCAGGGCTGGAGGATGGCTTGGTTCCCCTTTCCTCCTCTTTCTATCCCTGTGCGGCATAAGAAGAGGAGGGAAGGGATCAAAGAGGGATTGCTGTGGGATGGCTTTGGTTCCTGCCTTTCCTTCTGTTAGCAAGAGGAGGGGAAATGGATTAAAGGCATCCCCCCAGCCTGTCTGCCTTTGGTAGTGGGCCGGGGCTCTCTCTCTTTTTAAGATAGCCCCTGGGGTCAAAAAAGAGAGACCCCCACAAATGACAAATTGATTCGTTGTTCGTTGGGTCACTGGGTGGCATGGTTTGTGGGTCATCAAGTTTGACGACCCATGAACCAAGACCAAGCACCATTTGGGTGCTTCGTCCCCATCTCTACTGGAGACTAGAAGAACATATAAATGCCGCAGATTTTCAGAAAAAAAGAGTCGTCAGTTGTAAACTGAATTATGAATCATACTGAATTCAAATTGTGAATAGAATAATTATTAATAGAATAAATTGATAAAATTATTGAAAGTGTTTAATGGCTCAATTGCCACTGAATTATCACAACATTTCATTTCTAAATGTGTCTTAATCCTCACTATAATTAGCACAACCTGAATCAATTGGGCTGGGATTAGGTAGATGGCACAATCCATCCTGGTCTCATCATCACCTTTGAGGTTGGTTAACTTGAGAAGTCATCTTTCCAAAGGTTTCTTGGTGATCATCAGAGCAGGGAAAAGATTTGAACTCAGACCTTTCTCATTGTAGAAGGCCCTGATCCTTCCTTAACTTCCACAGACCGCTGAATCCATTTCTGTACCGAGTGCACCTGGGAGAATACGAGCTTCCCAGACCTGCAAAGACCATGATCTCCTCTGCCATCAACCGGATTATCGTGTACCCACATTATGCTGGAGATGGACTCAGTGGCGACATTGCACTGGTTCAGCTGAAGGAGCCGGTCAATTTCTCCCGAACCATTATGCCCGTCTGCCTACCCAGTATTTCAGATCCAGAACCCTTCCCTGCTGGGAAGTCGTGTTGGGTCACAGGGTGGGGCAACCTCTACCCAGATGGTAAGAAAGAACTTGGGGCTTTCTTTGTTCAACTGTGTGTTTCTGGAAAGCAGTGTTGCTTCATGGTTTCAGGTACAGTGGACCCTCGACTTACAAACGGCTCGACTTACAGATTTTTCGAGTTACAGACTTCTCTGGCTGCAAAATTTAGGTTCGACTTGCAGCCAGAGAATCCACCTACAGACCAGAAAAAAACCAAAATGGAACAAAAACGGAAGATTACGGATTAATCGTTTTTCAATGCATTGTAGGTCAATAGAGCCTCGACCTAAAGACTTTTCAACCTGCAACCACTGGTCCAATATGGATTAATTCCATAAGTAGAGGGTCCACTGTAAAAGGGTACTGTGTTGCTGCAGGAGAAGGGGAAGGAGAACAGGAAGCCCAAGCATAGTCGGAAACAATATCTGTGAAAGAAGATAGAGAACTGATAGGGAACTGGAGTAATTCCTAATTAATAAGAAAGTGGTGCTTGGGACTAGATATTTAGTCTGGACAGAATCAAAGAACAACTGTTAGGCCAGTAAACAAACCACACCTTATGAATTGGCAGTTCGTATCCATCTCTAGTTATGAGCTAGGCAAATGTTTGTTCCGAGCCAGATAGTTGCAAAAGTTAGCAGCATTGCTAATATTGAGATTGCTATGGAGAGCAGTGTGACATAGCCAACCTATTATTACATTCTGTAATAATCATTACACCCTGTAATAATCGCCTCCTTTTTCTTTCCTCAGCTCCCTTCCTCACTAGGACCCTACAGGAGCTGGAGGTGCCGATCATAGGTGTAGATGAGTGTGACCGAATGTATCACAATGACTCCGATTCTGACAGTGAGACTGAGACTGTACCCAAAGGCTACAGGCTGATTTATGAGGACATGATCTGTGCTGGGTTTCCAGAAGGAAAGAAGGACTCCTGCCAGGTAAGAATGGTAGAGTCGTCAATCAGCAATGAGGAATATATACAGGATGTATGTATTTTCGGGTGGAGTGTGAAAAACACGTAATTGTATCCTGGTCAAAGAGACAGGATAAGCAAAACTAATGATCATTAAAGTGATTACAGTATTGGTCCAGAACACATGATTAATAAAAATATTAGATTGTTCTGGGTTTTTCGGGCTCTTTGGCCGTGTTCTGAAGGTTGTTCTTCCTGACGTTTCGCCAGTCTCTGTGTGCTCACAGCCATGCAGAAGAGATATAACTCTGAAGTGCTGTCCTCTGAAGATGCCGGCCAGAGAGACTGGCAAAACGTTAGGAAGACCAACCTTCAAAACACGGCCAAAGAGCCCAAAAAACCCAGAACAACCATTAGATCCCGGACGTGAAAGCCTTCGCGAATATATAAAAATATTAGAAATTAGTCTTTGGAAAATCTACCCAATTTTCCTACCACAACAGAAGCTGCCAAGGAAGCCTTATTCAACATTCAAAAGTAGGCATGGGCTATTTGTATTTTCTATGCTTGGGGATATGAATATGAATAGTGACACCAGAGGTGCCATGGAGGCCCATTGCCTCCTCCCAGTCCACTCACCAGTTGTCATGCAGCGCAGGGGTCCTTTGTCATCATTGTCATGCTAATCTGGGAAGGAGCCCAGCTGGCACTTCCCCGCCTCCCTGTGCAGTCGACTACTACAGAAAGGAGGCGGGAAGGGGAGTCTCCCTACTCAGCTGATGAGTGGTCGGCTGCGTGGGGAGGTGAGGAAGTGCTGGCTGGGCTCCTCAGGTTGGCACGATGATGATGATGATGATGTTGGCTGGGCTCCTTCTCAGGTTGGCACGATGATGATGATGATGATGATGATGATGATGATAATGATGATGAAGGACCCCAGCACTGTGCAGGTGAGTGGCCTGGCCGGTTCTGGGGGGAGGGAATGGGCCTCTGTGGCACCTGTGATGCCACTAGTCATATTCCAGGGATATGAATCGACCATGTCTATTCAACAGCAGGCAAAGCTTTTGCCACCTGATGCCCTCAAGACGGGTTCCCACTGCTAATGATCAGATTGTCTGGAGGTGATGGGAGATGTAGTACAATACCTCTGGACGCTATCAGGTTGGAGAAGGCTCCTCTTAAAGCAATATCTACACATTATCACCTACTAACATTTGAACGAATGGGTTCCATATCAAACCAAGCCTGAACTATCTCTGGAGGTGGAACTATTGAAACTGAGGCTGTCCTGCTTTGGACACTTCATGAGAAAGCAGGATTCTCTGGAAAAGATGAGGATGCTGGCAAAGGCAGAAGACAGCAGGGAAAGGCGGAGAACAAATACGAGATGAATTGACTCACTAAAGGAAGAATTTGCAAGAGTGGAGCAGGGCTGCTATGGAGAGGATATTTAGGAGATCACTCATTCATGGGACCGCCATAGGTTGAGGATGTCTTGACAGCACATAACAACAACAACATCTGCTAAAGAAAACAACTTCTATTACCACTGCTAGTAATATTTTCTTATTCTGTGTATGGCAGGGCCTTTGAACTACTGTAACTAATTTTGGGGGGAGCAGAACTCAATTTAGGGAATGGTAAATATTGCATTTGTACCATCAGTTCACACTTGATAAACTTATAGAGTGTTTTATCTGTTCAGTTTTCATAACTCTAATGATCTGTGTCTTGGATGTTTTTCTCCTCCCCTCCCCTCTTTCTTTTGTTTTAAAGGGTGACTCTGGGGGACCTCTAGCCTGCAAAAAAAATGACACTTGGTTTCTGGCTGGAGTGGTCAGCTTTGGGTTGAGCTGTTCGGAGCCGAACCGACCCGGAGTCTATACCCGAGTCACCTCCTACATGGATTGGATTCAGCACACCATTGTGAAGAATACAGACTCTAGTGGCAACACACATCTTTCAAATGCAAATTCTAGCAGCCTCTTGGTTTTGCTCCTTCTTGTGGGTGCTTTGCCCATTTGGGCCCTTTAGCGTGACTGATCTGAAACTGGCTAAAAGCAAGATTAAAATGAAAGTTCTGTATCACATTTATTGCATAGTATTATATCCCTCCTAAATTCTAGTGATGCCTGCAAACACACAAATGTGTTTGATATGATGGAACGTATAGAATCATAGAATAATTGAATTGGAAGGGGCCTATAAGGCCATCGAGTCCAAACCCCTGCTCAATGCAAGAATCCAAGTCAAAGCAGATCTGACAGCTGGTTGTCCAATTTTCTCTCTTATGCCTGTACTTAAGGACACAACCTGCTATGGGTTTATCTTGGTAACTATGATAGTTTCTCTAGTAATTTAATTTCAACTGAAATGCAAGCTAAGTATTTTTTTATACTGAAATAAATGTTTTGAAAAAGAAGAAAACTATGGACAGGATCCGGTTGTAGATATCTGGTGCTGGAACAGAAGAATCCGTCTCTTCTCCATTTCAGGTGATACCAAAACCAGCTCTGGAAGACTGCAAACTCTACCAGACATATTTGTTTGGCTATACAAAGAGCTGCAGACGGAATGGGAAGGGCAGAAAGTCCCTAAAGTTCTCTTTGCAAAACACTGAATTTAGCTCAATGTACTGTATTTCCTCATCATAGCCATTAAAAGCGGAAGCAAGGCCTTTATGACTAACAAATAAGCACAGCTGGGTGTCATCAATGATACATTCCACTTATTGTCTGGAAGTTGAATCATCATAACCAACTCTCCTCAGAATGAAGAAGCTACTGAGTGGTGAAAAGTTTCAACCTAATAAGAAAAAAGTCCATTTGCCATGACTGAACTTCCAGATAACCTCACCTGGATGACTGAGAAGCTTCACAGATATATCCACAGTTCAAATAAATTTATTGTCATTGTAAGTATATACATAGTACAGTATACACATACAACAAAATTCACCCAGACACTCAAAGGCCAGACCCACATGCACACACATAAAAAATCCCCCAAACACTCCCCACCCACTAAAAATCCCCCAGTAAGAACACAAACATTTGCACCGCAGGCTAAATAACACTGTCCAACTGTTCACTGCTGGTGGTCTTTAAGTTCATTATTAAGTGCAATTATAGCTCTGGGATAAAAACTATTCAGAAAACGTGTGGTCCGAGTCTTAATTGTTCTGTATCTTCTCCCAGACGGCAACAGTTCAAAAAAGTTGAGGGCAGGATGGGAAAAGTCTCTAAGGATGTTGTGTGATTTCCTCAGACAGCGGGATGTGAAGATGTCATCCAGGGTTGATAGCTGGAGCCCGATCATATTCTGGGCAATTTTAATGGTTCTCTGTAGAGCTTTTTTGTCCACTACTCAGGTGCTCCCAAACCATACAAGAATGCCATAGGTTAGGACACTCTCAATGGTGCTACAATAGTAGGACAGAAGTAAATGCTGAGATAAATTCAACTTCCTGAGCATTCTCAGGAAATACAGCCTCTTCTGTGCTTTCTTCACTAGCATGTTGGCATTTATAGTCCACGAGAGGTCCTCTGAGATGTAAGTGCCCAGAAATTTAAAACTACCAACCCTCTCCACTTCCTCGCCATTTATGTACAGTGGTAAATGTACATTTCTCTTCCTCCTAAAATCAATTATGAGTTCTTTAGTTTTGTGATGTTAAGTGTGAGATGATTTTCTTTACACCAAAGTATCAACCTTTGTACTTCCTTTCTATAAGCAGACTCATTGTTCTTATTTATGAACTCCACCATTGTCGTATTGTCCGCAAATTTAATAATTGCATTGGTGTTATACAGGGGGGGGCGATCATGTGTGTAGAGGGAATAGAGGAAGGGACTTAGCACACAGCCCTGGGGAGCTCCTGTACTTAGTACCAAGGTAGAAGAATGGTGAGATCCCATCCTTACTGACTGTGCCTATATGTCAGAAAGGCCTTTATCCACACACACATCTTCTGAGGTAATCCCAGGTTGATCATTTTAAAAAACAACCTATTGGGTAGAATGGTATTAAAAGCAGAACTATAATCCAAAAACAATAGCCTCGCATAAATTCCCTGTTGTTCTAAGTGACTCAATACAGTAGGGAGAATAATGGACATAGCATCATCAGTAGATCTATTTCTCCTGTATGGAAATTGTCAAGGGTCCAAAGAAGGTGGAAGACTAGCCTTAATGTAATCCAGCACCAATCTCTCAAAACATTTCATAATAACAGATGTAAAGCTACTGGTCTATGATCATTGAGAGATACCACACCAGTATGCAAGCACAGATAACAGTTAAATTTATTGCCTGGAATCCATAACCTAATGCCACCTAAGGCCAATGGTGGCATCAGCAATGGAGAATGTGACAGGAGCAACCCACTTCAGAGGCTGGCAGCAAATCCGGCATAAAGATTCAGTCCCTGACAGCCACACTTTAAAAGCTGCTGGAAAAAGGAGTTTGCAGGAACAATACCCCACTAAAAACAAAATCAACACCAAAAACACGTTCAAAGCAATAAGTCACAACATTCCATTCAAAATCCCAATTCAGGCAGCCAGTCAATAAGGGAAAGCTTGACTGAAGAAGGTCTTTGCCTGCTTATGAAAGGACAGCAAAGATGGGGCACGTCTGGCTTCCAGTAGGAGGGAGTTCCAAAGGCTGGGGGCATC